AGGGATAGAATATAGCAGAAAGAAGATAGAGGACAGGGATAGAGGACAGAGGACAGGGATAGAATATAGCAGAAAGAAGATAGAGGACAGGCATAGAGGACAGAGGACAGGGATAGAAGATAGCAGAAAGAAGATAGAGGACAGGGATAGAGGACAGAGGACAGGGATAGAAGATAGCAGAAAGAAGATAGAGGACAGGGATAGAGGACAGAGGACAGGGATAGAGGACAGAAGACAGGGATAGAGGACAGAAGATAGAGGACAGGGATAGAGGACAGAAGATAGAGGACAGGGATGGAGGACAGAAGACAGGGATAGAGGACAGAAGATAGAGGACAGGGATAGAGGACAGAAGATAGAGGACAGGGATGGAGGACAGAAGACAGGGATAGAGGACAGAAGATAGAGGACAGGGATAGAGGACAGAAGACAGGGATAGAGGACAGAAGATAAAGGACAGGGATAGAGGACAGAAGATAGAGGACAGGGATAGAGGACAGAAGATAGAGGACAGTGATAGAGGACAGAAGACAGGGATAGAGGACAGAAGATAGAGGACAGGGATAGAGGACAGAAGATAGAGGACAGGGATGGAGGACAGAAGACAGGGATAGAGGACAGAAGATAGAGGACAGGGATAGAGGACAGAAGACAGGGATAGAGGACAGAAGATAGAGGACAGGGATGGAGGACAGAAGATAGAGGACAGGGATAGAGGACAGAAGATAGAGGACAGGGATGGAGGACAGAAGATAGAGGACAGGGATAGAGGACAGAGGGCAGGGACAGAATATAGCAGAAAGAAGATAGAGGACAGGGATAGAGGACAGAGGACAGGGATAGAGGACATGGATAGAAGACAGCAGAAAAAAGATAGAGGACAGGGATAGAGGACAGATGACAGGGATAGAGGACAGAGGACAGGGATAGAGGACATGGATAGAAGACAGCAGAAAAAAGATAGAGGACAGGGATAGAGGACAGAGGACAGGGATAGAAGACAGCAGAAAGAAAATAGAGGACAGGGATAGAGGACAGAGGACAGGGATAGAATATAGCAGAAAGAAGATAGAGGACAGGGATAGAGGACAGAGGACAGGGATAGAATATAGCAGAAAGAAGATAGAGGACAGGGATAGAGGACAGAGGACAGGGATAGAAGATAGCAGAAAGAAGATAGAGGACAGGGATAGAGGACAGAGGACAGGGATAGAATATAGCAGAAAGAAGATAGAGGACAGGGATAGAGGACAGAGGACAGGGATAGAAGATAGCAGAAAGAAGATAGAGGACAGGGATAGAGGACAGAGGGCAGGGATAGAATATAGCAGAAAGAAGATAGAGGACAGGGATAGAGGACAGAGGACAGGGATAGAATATAGCAGAAAGAAGATAGAGGACAGGGATAGAGGACAGAGGACAGGGATAGAGGACATGGATAGAAGACAGCAGAAAGAAGATAGAGGACAGGGATAGAATATAGCAGAAAGAAGATAGAGGACAGGCATAGAGGACAGAGGACAGGGATAGAATATAGCAGAAAGAAGATAGAGGACAGGGATAGAGGACAGAGGACAGGGATAGAGGACATGGATAGAAGACAGCAGAAAGAAGATAGAGGACAGGGATAGAGGACAAAGGACAGGGATAGAATATAGCAAAAAGAAGATAGAGGACAGGGATAGAATATAGCAGAAAGAAGATAGAGGACAGGCATAGAGGACAGAGGACAGGGATAGAATATAGCAGAAAGAAGATAGAGGACAGGGATAGAGGACAGAGGACAGGGATAGAGGACATGGATAGAAGACAGCAGAAAGAAGATAGAGGACAGGGATAGAGGACAAAGGACAGGGATAGAATATAGCAAAAAGAAGATAGAGGACAGGGATAGAATATAGCAGAAAGAAGATAGAGGACAGGCATAGAGGACAGAGGACAGGGATAGAATATAGCAGAAAGAAGATAGAGGACAGGGATAGAGGACAGAGGACAGGGATAGAGGACATGGATAGAAGACAGCAGAAAGAAGATAGAGGACAGGGATAGAGGACAAAGGACAGGGATAGAATATAGCAAAAAGAAGATAGAGGACAGGGATAGAATATAGCAGAAAGAAGATAGAGGACAGGGATAGAGGACAGGGGACAGGGATAGAAGATAGCAGAAAGAAGATAGAGGACAGGGATAGAGGACAGAGGACAGGGATAGAAGATAGCAGAAAGAAGATAGAGGACAGAGGACAGGGATAGAAGATAGCAGAAAGAAGATAAAGGACAGGGATAGAGGACAGAAGATAGAGGACAGGGATGGAGGACAGAAGATAGAGGACAGGGATAGAGGACAGAGGACAGGGATAGAGGACATGGATAGAAGACAGCAGAAAAAAGATAGAGGACAGGGATAGAGGACAGATGACAGGGATAGAGGACAGAGGACAGGGATAGAGGACATGGATAGAAGACAGCAGAAAAAAGATAGAGGACAGGGATAGAGGACAGAGGACAGGGATAGAAGACAGCAGAAAGAAAATAGAGGACATGGATAGAAGACAGCAGAAAAAAGATAGAGGACAGGGATAGAGGACAGAGGACAGGGATAGAAGACAGCAGAAAGAAAATAGAGGACAGGGATAGAGGACAGAGGACAGGGATAGAATATAGCAGAAAGAAGATAGAAGACAGGGATAGAGGACAGAGGACAGGGATAGAAGATAGCAGAAAGAAGATAGAGGACAGGGATAGAGGACAGAGGACAGGGATAGAATATAGCAGAAAGAAGATAGAGGACAGGGATAGAGGACAGAGGACAGGGATAGAATATAGCAGAAAGAAGATAGAGGACAGGGATAGAGGACAGAGGACAGGGATAGAGGACATGGATAGAAGACAGCAGAAAGAGGACAGAGGACAGGGATAGAATATAGCAGAAAGAAGATAGAGGACAGGGATAGAGGACAGAGGACAGGGATAGAATATAGCAGAAAGAAGATAGAGGACAGGGATAGAGGACAGAGGACAGGGATAGAATATAGCAGAAAGAAGATAGATGACAGGGATAGAGGACAGAGGACAGGGATAGAGGACATGGATAGAAGACAGCAGAAAGAAGATAGAGGACAGGGATAGAGGACAGAGGACAGGGATAGAGGACATGGATAGAAGACAGCAGAAAGAGGACAGAGGACAGGGATAGAATATAGCAGAAAGAAGATAGAGGACAGGGATAGAGGACAGAGGACAGGGATAGAATATAGCAGAAAGAAGATAGAGGACAGAGGACAGGGATAGAATATAGCAGAAAGAAGAAAGAGGACAGGGATAGAGGACAGAGGACAGGGATAGAATATAGCAGAAAGAAGATAGAGGACACGGATAGAGGACAGAGGACAGGGATAGAATATAGCAGAAAGAAGATAGAGGACAGGGGACAGGGATAGAAGATAGCAGAAAGAAGATAGAGGACAGGGGACAGGGATAGAATATAGCAGAAAGAAGATAGAGGACAGGGATAGAGGACAGAGGACAGGGATAGAATATAGCAGAAAGAAGATAGAGGACAGGGGACAGGGATAGAAGATAGCAGAAAGAAGATAGAGGACAGGGATAGAGGACAGAGGACAAGAATAGAATATAGCAGAAAGAAGATAGAGGACAGAGGGCAGGGATAGAAGATAGAGGACAGGGATAGAGGACAGAGGACAGGGATAGAATATAGCAGAAAGAAGATAGAGGACAGGGGACAGGGATAGAATATAGCAGAAAGAAGATAGAGGACAGGGATAGAGGACAGAGGACAGGGATAGAGGACAGAGCAGAGGACAGGGATAGAGGACAGGGATAGAGGACAGAGGACAGGGATAGAATATAGCAGAAAGAAGAAAGAGGACAGGGATAGAGGACAGAGGACAGGGATAGAGGACAGGGATAGACTATAGCAGAAAGAAGAAAGAGGACAGGGATAGAGGACAGAGGACAGGGATAGAATATAGCAGAAAGAAGATAGAGGACAGGGATAGAGGACAGAGGACAGGGATAGAGGACAGAGGACAGGGATAGAATATAGCAGAAAGAAGATAGAGGACAGGGATAGAGGACAGGGGATAGAGGACAGAGGATAGGGATAGAGGACAGAGGACAGGGATAGAATATAGCAGAAAGAACAAAGAGGACAGGGATAGAGGACAGGGAAGAGGACATGGATAGAAGACAGCAGAAAGAAGATAGAGGACAGGGATAGAGGACAGAGATAGAGGACAGAGGACAGGGATAGAATATAGCAGAAAGAAGATAGAGGACAGGGATAGAGGACAGAGGACAGGGATAGAGGACAGAGGACAGGGATAGAATATAGCAGAAAGAAGATAGAGGACAGGGATAGAGGACAGGGATAGAGGACAGGGATAGAGGTCATGGACAGAGGACAGGGACAGAAGATAGAGGACATTGAAAGAGGAAAGGGACAGAGGACATTGACCGAGTACAGGGGACAGAAGACATGGACAGACGGCATGGACAGAAGACAGGTGATGTAGATAGAGGACATGAACAGAGGAGTGAGGATAGAGGACATGGACAGGGGAGAGAGAAGTGAGGACAGAGGACAATGGACAAGGAGAGAGGACAGAAGAAAGAGGACATGGAGAGGGGAGAGAAGACATGGATAGAGAACATGGACAGGGGCGGGAGAAGAGAGGACAGAGGACACTGGACAAGGAGATAGGATAGAAGACATAGGACATGGACAGAGTACAGAAGACATGGATAGAGAACATGGACAGGGGTGGGAGAAGGGAGGACAGATGACAATGGACATGGATGCAGGACAGAAGATAGAGGACATGAACAAAGGACAGATGACATGAACAGAGGACAAAGGACATGGATAGTGGTAATGGACAGGGGACGTCTCCTGTCTGCCTCAGTCAGTCTGTTTCTCTCCTGGTTTTTCTCTCTACTGATGGCTGCTCTAACAAAGACATTTCTACGTCATGGTCCCACCTATGGAGTAGCGGGCCTTGAAGCCTTTGTGCGTGACGCTGGTGTCGGTACGGAAGCGCAGCAGCATGGAGGAACCCTTGGAATGTTGGGTGGAGGGTCTGGTGCTGCCACACAGCCGGGAGATCGGGTCCGAGTTCAAAGACGAACCGTCTCTGAGCTCCAGGTAGTCGTAGGAGCAGCTGATGATGAACACAGAACCAAACATCATCAACATAAACAGAACCCTTACCTTATATCAGAACCATCAGTCAACCAGGAACCTGTTCTTAACCAGGAACCTGTTCTGAACCAGGAACCTGTTCTGAACCAGGAACCAGTTCAGAACCAGGAACCAGTTCCGACCCAGGAACCTGTTCTGAACCAGGAACCAGTTCAGAACCAGGAACCAGTTCCGACCCAGGAACCTGTTCTGAACCAGGAACCAGTTCAGAACCAGGAACCAGTTCCGACCCAGGAACCTGTTCTGAACCAGGAATCGGTTCTGAACCAGGAACCAGTTCAGAACCAGGAATCAGTTCCGAACCAGGAACCTGTTCTGAACCAGGAACCAGTTCTGAACCAGGAACCAGTTCCGACCCAGGAACTTGTTCTGAACCAGGAACCTGTTCTGAACCAGGAACCAGTTCAGAACCAGGAATCAGTTCCGAACCAGGAACCTGTTCTGAACCAGGAACCAGTTCTGAACCAGGAACCAGTTCCGACCCAGGAACTTGTTCTGAACCAGGAACCAGTTCTGAACAAGAAACCTGGTGACTTTGGCTGAAATCAAACATCTTCTGATGCCACTGAAATAATGACGGTTATTCAGAGGAGGAAGCAGGAAGTGAAAGGGATCCAGAACCTGAGCAGCGGTACCTGGAGGTGGGCTCGATGTAGAAGTCCTCAAAGTCCACCTGGACAGCTTCTCCGTTGGGGACGGTTATGACCCAGATGCAGTCCACGTTCTGAGGGTAGTTCTCTGGGTAGTTGGGTGAGGTGATGTATCCTGGAGGGTCTTCATCCCTGACCACTATGAAGCCTCCACAGGCTGGGGGGAAATTGAATCTGTTATAACTGGAACCAGGCTTTACGCAGAGCAGAACCAGCCCAGAACCAGAACCTTCTGCTGCTCATCTCTCTGTAAGCTCATCTCTATATGTACTCATTTCTAGGTATGCTAACCTGTATGTATGCTATGCTATGCATCCTCACCCGTATGTATGCTAACCCATGCATGCTAACCCATGCATGCTAACCCATATGTCTGCAAACCTGTATGCATGCTCACCTGTATGTATGTCAACACATGTATCCTCACCCATATTTATGCTAACCCATGAAGGCTGACTCATGCATGCTAACATGTATGTATGCTAACTCATTCATCCTCACCCGTATGTATGCTAACCCATGCATGCTAACCCGTATGCATGCTAACCCATATGTATGCTTACCCATATGTATGCTAACCCATGAATGCTAACCCATGCATACTAACACATGCATGCTAACCCGTATGTATGCTAACCCGTATGTATGCTTACCCGTATGTATGCTAACCCATGAATGCTAACCCATGCATGCTAACCCATGCATGCTAACCCGTATGTATGCTAACCTGTATTTATGCTTACCCGTATGTATACTAACCCATGCATGCTAACATGTATGAATGCTAACCCATGCATGCTAACCTGTATGTATACTTACCCGTATATATACTAACCCATGCATGCTAACCCGTATGTATGCTAACCCGTATGTATGCTAACCCATGAATGCTAACCCATGCATGCTAACCCATGCATGCTAACCCATATGTATGCTAACCTGTATGTACAGTATGCTTACCTGTATGTATACTAACCCATGAATGCTAACTCATGCATGCTAACCCGAATGTATGCTAACCTGTATGTATGCTTACACGTATGTATACTAACCCACAAATGCTAACCCATGCATGCTAACCCATGCATGCTAACCCGTATGTATGCTAACCTGTATTTATGCTTACCCGTATGTATACTAACCCATGCATGCTAACATGTATGAATGCTAACCCATGCATGCTAACCTGTATGTATACTTACCCGTATATATACTAACCCATGCATGCTAACCCGTATGTATGCTAACCCGTATGTATGCTAACCAATGAATGCTAACCCATGCATGCTAAGCCGTATGTATGCTAACCTGTATGTACAGTATGCTTACCTGTATGTATACTAACCCATTAATGCTAACTCATGCATGCTAACCCGAATGTATGCTAACCTGTATGTATGCTTACACGTATGTATACTAACCCATGAATGCTAACTCATGCATGCTAACCTGTATGTATTCTAGTCTAAAACCTAAGAGCTGATCTGGTTAGGTCGAGGCCTCTGAACTTGGGTCTAATTGAGATGTTTCTTCAGAATCAAAGCTGAACGTCAACATTGAGTTATTGTGTCTAAAGAAGAACTGGGGAAGCTACCTTGACTATGTGCCTCAAAGGTCAGTTTGAAGCCAGTGGCCTCGTTGCTGGCATCAGACACAAAGTGAGCATAGAGGTGGTTGTCTGTGGTTTGGAGGATGGGTGGAGGGTTTGCACCACAGATACGTTCATGTAGGAGTGGAGCCGAACCATCTGGGCCATTTCTGAGCTGTGGAAACAAGGAGAAACAGATGTAAAGCCGGGTTGGTCAGCCGCCTGCAGGACTGGAAAAAGATGGCATCTCCTCCTCCCAAAACTACACCAGAGTCTCCACCCAGAGAAATAGCACCAAGTATAAATCCTTTGATTTCACCTTAAAGGAAAATTCCGGTTTTTAACACTTTTAGCCCCTTTTCTGTAGTGTCCAGGATGAAATCGAATGATCGACACCAAAATTTTGACGATTGGTCCTGTCTCGGCTATTTGGCTCATGTAGAATCCCCCCCTGGCTGCTTCAGAATGGCTTCCATAGAGCATGTCTGATAATGTCCTTAAAACAACCTTAAACGTTATTTTTTTAAAATATGCTAATCACCGGGTCGTCAGCGCTGTTCAATGACGTTCCAAAAAAGTTTCGTGAAGAAAAACCGTTCCTGTCTTGTTTTATTTAGCATTTTGTAAATCCCAGAACTATTTTTTCCGATACATCACAACCGCTTATAAACTTCCGCTTCCCGTTCGAATCTGAAGCATTGCACACTCCAGACCACTAGTTGGCGACGGTATCCTCTACCGTCAAACTCAAAGTCCAATATGTCCTCCTCAAGAATCCACCTTTCGTATTCCATTTTCCAAGTTTTTTAAAGTGTTTAACAGAGACGTTAGCACCTCGACGTCGGAGTACACAGAGTGAAGCATAAACACTTGGGCCTTGCGAAAAGACTACAACTAAGCGTAAACAGGCCCCATTTCCGTTTCCGGTGGCGGAGGGATATTGACTATTCCAACAGAACTCAATGGGATTTACAAAATGCTAAATAAAACACTACAGGAACGTTTTTTCTTTACGAAACTTTTTTGGAACGTCATTGAACAGCGCTGACGACCCGGTGAGTAGCATATTTAAAAAAAATAACGTTTAAGGTTGTTTTAAGGACATTATCTGACATGCTCTATGGAAGCCATTCTGAAGCAGCCAGGGGGGGATTCTGCATGAGCCAAATAGCAGAGACAGGACCAATCGTCAAAATTTTGGTGTCGATCATTCGATTTCATCCTGGACACTACAGAAAAGGGGCTAAAAGTGTTAAAAACCGGAATTTTCCTTTAACCCCAGAAAACCTGCAGATTAGAGCTTTGAAAGCCTCTTTCTTTGGCAGAATGAGGTCATTCTCGAGCCGTTTAGTCCAGGATTACATCAGCCTGAATGCATCTCCATCCCCAGCACTAGCCTTGGTCCAGAACCCTCCCTCTTACCTCCAGGTAGTCTCCAGAGCTACATGCGGTGCCGTAGCCGTTAATCTGGAAGGGGCTTTGGAAAACCACGGAGACCCGGAAGCCTGGTGTGACCATGACATGCCAGCTACAGTTCAGACCAGGGGAGTAGTTCTGGGGGTAGTGAGGACTGCTCAGAACCCCCCGGTCCACATGCAGCAAGCCGCCACAACCTGAACAGAACACTGGCATTAGGAATGGCTCAGATAGTGAATGCAACATGCTCTGATGGAGATAATCCAGAGAAAGAACCAGACTAAAAACCCAGATAATATCTGAACAAATGCTTAGAAAGACCAATGTTAAACCACAGCAGCAGCTTAGCATTCACTGAGACAGAGAGAAACAAGAACCTTTGGAGAAGGAGGCGTTGAAGCCTCGGCCGCCGATGCTGCTGTCTGAAGAGAAGTGGATGAACATGGAGTCCCCTGAGGAGTGAATGGAGCCTGGAGGATCCCTGCCACACACACTGGCTAGCACTGGGGACAGACTGGTGGACCCTGCAGACATGCATCAACCAGAGCCATTAGCGCCACAGATGGATGGCCCCATCCAGTACAGCAGAACCAGAGAGGTCATAGTTCAGCCTTTCCTGGGTTCTAGTCAAGAACATACCTGCCAAGGACACGAGTCTGTACTCATGCTCTTGTGAATTGAGAAACGATTGATGTAAATCAAACCAATCTATTTCCTGTCAGTCCTGCTGCTTTGCTCACCGTCTCTGATGATGAGGCTGTCATAGAGGCAGGGTGGGAATCCCTCCACATCCAGAGACAAGATGTTCAGCTCTACGATGGAGTCAGCGGCGCGAATCAGCCACGTACACTCCTGGCTAGGAGGATAGATTTCAGGCCATTCCGGGGAAAAGAGGAAAGCAGGAGCAGAACCGGCCATGAGAAGTCCACCACAGGCACCTGAGGGACACAGACATCAAAGACTTCTTCATAAGACCAACCTGATGAAGAGGAAGCCACCGAACAGGAGTGTGAACCAGATGGGTTCTGGTTCTCTATGGACTGATCTGAAAGGGTTCTGGGTCTCTGTGGACTGATCTGGATGGATTCTGGGTCTCTATGGACTGATCTGGATGGATTCTGGGTCTCTATGGACTGATCTGGATGGATTCTGGGTCTCTATGGACTGATCTAGATGGGTTCTGGTTCGTCATGGTCTGATCTGGATGGTTTCTGTGTCTCTATGGACTGATCTGATTAGGTTATGGGTCTATATGGTCTGATCAGGATGGGTTTTGGATGGGTTGTGGGTCTCTATGGTTTGATCTAATTGGGTTCTGGGTCTTCATGGTCTGATCTGGATGGGTTCTCGATGGGTTATGGGTCTCTATGCTCTGATCTGGATGGGTTCTGTGTCTCTATGGTCTGATCTGGATGGGTTCTGGGTCTCTATGGTCTGATCTGGATGGGTTCTGGATTAGTTCTGGGTCTCTATAGTCTGATTTGGATGGGTTCTGGGTCTCTGTGGACTGATCTGGTTGGGTTCTGGTTCTTCATGGTCTGATCTGGATGGTTTCTGGGTCTCTATGGACTGATCTGGATGGGTTCTGGATGGGTTCTTGGTCTCTATGATATGATCTGGATGGGTTCTGCATGGGTTCTGGGTCTCTATGGTCTGATCTGTTTGGGTTCTGGGTCTCTATGGTCTGATCTGGATGGGTTCTGGATGGGTTGTGGGTCTCTATGATCTGATCTGGTTGGGTTCTGGATGGGTTGTGGGTCTCTATGGTCTGATCCGAATGGATTCTGGGTCTCTATGGTCTGATCTGGATGTGTTCTGGGTTTCTATGGTTTAATCTGGATGGGTTCTGGGTCTTCATTGTCTGATCTGGATGGTTTCTGGGCCTCTATGGACTGATCTGGATGGGTTCTGGATGGGTTCTGGGTCTCTATGGTCTGATCTGTTTGGGTTCTGGGTCTCTGTGGTCTGATCTGGTTGGGTTCTGGATGGGTTGTGGGTCTCTATGGTCTGATCTGGATGGGTTCTGGATGGGTTCTGGGTCTCTATAGTCTGATCTGGATGGGTTCTGGGTCTCTATGGTCTGATCTGGTTGGGTTCTGGTTCTTCATGGTCTGATCTGGATGGTTTCTGGGTCTCGATGGACTAATCTTGATGGGTTGTGGGTCTCTATGATCTGATCTGGATGGGTTCTGGGTCTCTATAGTCTGATCTGGATGGGTTGTGGGTCTCTATGGTCTGATCTGGATGGGTTCTGGATGGGTTCTGGGTCTCTATAGTCTGATCTGGATGGGTTGTGGGTCTCTATGATCTGATCTGGATGGGTTCTGGTTGGGTTGTGGGTCTCTATGGTCTGATCTGGATGGGTTCTGGATGGGTTCTGGGTCTCTATAGTCTGATCTGGATGGGTTGTGGGTCTCTATGGTCTGATCTGGATGGGTTCGGGATGGGTTCTGGGTCTCTATAGTCTGATCTGGATGGGTTGTGGGTCTCTATGATCTGATCTGGATGGGTTCTGGTTGGGTTGTGGGTCTCTATGGTCTGATCTGGATGGGTTCTGGATGGGTTCTGGGTCTCTATAGTCTGATCTGGATGGGTTCTGGGTCTCTATGGTCTGATCTGGTTGGGTTCTGGTTTTTCATGGTCTGATCTGGATGGTTTCTGGGTCTCTATGAACTGATCTGGATGGGTTCTGGATGGGTTCTGGGTCTCTATGGACTGATCTGGATGGGTTCTTGGTCTCTATGATATGATCTGGATGGGTTCTGGATGGGTTCTGGGTCTCTATGGTCTGATCTGTTTGGGTTCTGGGTCTCTATGGTCTGATCTGGATGGGTTCTGGATGGGTTGTGGGTCTCTATGATCTGATCTGGATGGGTTCTGGATGGATTGTGGGTCTCTATGGTCTGATCTGATTGGGTTGTGGGTCTCTATGGTCTGATCTGGATGGATTCTGGGTCTCTATGGTCTGACCTGAATGGGTTCTGGATGGGTCCTGGGTCTCTATGGTCTGCTGATGTGGTGGTTCTGGTTGTTTCATGGTTTGATCTGGAGGTTTCTATGTCTCTATGGTCTGATCTGGATGGTTCTGGGTCTCTATGGACTGATCTGATGGGTTCTGGTTCGTCATGGTCTGATCTGGATGGTTTCTTTGTCTGTCGGATGATCTGGATGGGTTCTGGGTCTCTATGGTCTGATCTGATAGGTTATGGTCTCTATGGTCTGATTGGATGGGTTTGGATGGGTTGTGGTCTATTGTTTAAGATTTCTGGGCTCCATGGTCTGATCTGGATGGGTTCTCGATGGGTTTGGGTCTCTATGGTCTGATCTGTGGATTCTGGTCTTATGGTCTGATCTGGATGGGTTCTGGATGGGTTCTGGTCTCTATGATTGATCTGGATGGGTTCTGGATAGTTCGGGTCTCTATAGTCTGATCTGGATGGGTTCTGGGTCTCTTGGACTGATCTGGGTGGGTTCTGGTCTCTGGTGATCTGGATGGTTTCTGTCTCTATGGATGATCTGGATGGGTTCGGGTCTTATGGTCTGATCTGGATGGGTTCTGAGGGCTCTATGGACTGATTGGGTGGGTTCTGGTTGTTCATGGTTTGATCTGGATAGTTTCTGGTCTCTATGGTCTGATCTGGATGGATTCTGGCTCTTCTATGGACTGATCTAGATGGGTTCTGGTTCGTCCATGGTCTGATCTGGATGGTTTTTTGTCTGTACAGACTGACTGGATGGTTCTGGGTCTCTATGGTCTGATCTGATTAGGTTTGGGTCTCTATGGTCTGATCTGGATGGGTTTGGATGGGTTGTGGGTCTCTATGGTTGATCTGAATTGATGTTCTGGGTCTCCATGGTCTGATCTGGATGGGTTCTCGATGGGTTTGGGTCTCTATGGTCTGATCTGGATGGATTCTGGGTCTCTATGGTCTGACCTGAATGGGTTCTGGATGGGTCCTGGGTCTCTATGGTCTGATCTGGATGTGTTCTGGGTTTCTATGGTTTAATCTAGATGGGTTCTGGGTCTTCATGGTCTGATCTGGATGGGTTCTGGTTTGTAATGGTCTGATCTGGATGGTTTCTCTGTCTCTATGGATTGATCTGGATGGGTTCCGGGTCTTCATGGTCTGATCTGGATGGGTTCTGAGTCTCTATGGACTGATGTGGGTGGGTTCTGGTTGTTCATGGTTTGATCTGGATGGTTTCTATGTCTCTATGGTCTGATCTGGATGGATTCTGGGTCTCTATGGACTGATCTAGATGGGTTCTGGTTCGTCATGGTCTGATCTGGATGGTTTCTTTGTCTGTACGGACTGATCTGGATGGGTTCTGGGTCTCTATGGTCTGATCTGATTAGGTTATGGGTCTCTATGGTCTGATCTGGATGGGTTTTGGATGGGTTGTGGGTCTCTATGGTTTGATCTAATTGAGTTCTGGGTCTCCATGGTCTGATCTGGATGGGTTCTCGATGGGTTCTGGGTCTCTATGGTCTGATCTGGATGGATTCTGTGTCTCTATGGTCTGATCTGGATGGGTTCTGGATGGGTTCTGTGTCTCTATGATCTGATCTGGATGGGTTCTGGATTAGTTCTGGGTCTCTATAGTCTGATCTGGATGGGTTCTGGGTCTCTGTGGACTGATCTGGGTGGGTTCTGGTTCTTCATGGTCTGATCTGGATGGTTTCTCTGTCTCTATGGATTGATCTGGATGGGTTCTGGGTCTTCATGGTCTGATCTGGATGGGTTCTGAGTCTCTATGGACTGATGTGGGTGGGTTCTGGTTGTTCATGGTTTGATCTGGATAGTTTCTGTGTCTCTATGGTCTGATCTGGATGGATTCTGGCTCTCTATGGACTGATCTAGATGGGTTCTGGTTCGTCATGGTCTGATCTGGATGGTTTCTTTGTCTGTACAGACTGATCTGGATGGGTTCTGGGTCTCTATGGTCTGATCTGATTAGGTTATGGGTCTCTATGGTCTGATCTGGATGGGTTTTGGATGGGTTGTGGGTCTCTATGGTTTGATCTAATTGAGTTCTGGGTCTCCATGGTCTGATCTGGATGGGTTCTCGATGGGTTCTGGGTCTCTATGGTCTGATCTGGATGGATTCTGTGTCTCTATGGTCTGATCTGGATGGGTTCTGGATGGGTTCTGTGTCTCTATGATCTGATCTGGATGGGTTCTGGATTAGTTCTGGGTCTCTATAGTCTGATCTGGATGGGTTCTGGGTCTCTGTGGACTGATCTGGGTGGGTTCTGGTTCTTCATGGTCTGATCTGGATGGTTTCTGGGTCTCTATGGACTGATCTGGATGGGTTCTGGATGGGTTCTGGGTCTCTATGGTCTGATCTGCTTGGGTTCTGGGTCTCTGTGGTCTAATCTGGATGGGTTCTGGATGGGTTGTGGGTCTCTATGATCTGATCTGGATGGGTTCTGGATGGGTTGTGGGTCTCTATGGTCTGATCTGGATGGGTTCTGGATTAGTTCTGGGTCTCTATAGTCTGATCTGGATGGGTTCTGGGTCTCTGTGGACTGATCTGGTTGGGTTCTGGTTCTTCATGGTCTGATCTGGATGGTTTCTGGGTCTCTATGGACTGATCTGGATGGGTTCTTGTTCTCTATGATATGATCTGGATGGGTTCTGCATGGGTTCTGGGTCTCTATGGTCTGATCTGTTTGGGTTCTGGGTCTCTATGGTCTGATCTGGTTCGGTTCTGGATGGGTTGTGGGTCTCTATGGTCTGATCTGATTGGGTTGTGGGTCTCTATGGTCTGATCTGATTGGGTTGTGGGTCTCTATGGTCTGATCCGAATGGATTCTGGGTCTCTATGGTCTGATCTGGATGTGTTCTGGGTTTCTATGGTTTAATCTGGATGGGTTCTGGGTCTTCATGGTCTGATCTGGATTGGTTCTGGTTGTTAATGGTCTGATCTGGATGGTTTCTCTGTCTCTATGGATTGATCTGGATGGGTTCTGGGTCTTCATGGTCTGATCTGGATGGGTTCTGAGTCTCTATGGATTGATGTGGATGGGTTCTGGTTGTTCATGGTCTGATCTGGATGGTTTCTGTGTCTCTATGGTCTGATCTGGATGGATTCTGGCTCTCTATGGTCTGGGTCTGATCTGCATGGGTTCTGGGTCTCTATGGTTTAATCTGGATGGGTGCTGGGTCTTCATGGTCTGATCTGGATGGGTTCTGGTTGTTAATGGTCTGATCTGGATGGTTTCTGTGTCTCTATGGATTGATCTGGATGGGTTCTGGGTCTCTATGGTCTGATCAGGATGGGTTCTGGATGGGTTCTGGGTCTCTATGGGCTGATCTGGATGGGTTCCGGGTCTTCATGGTCTGATCTGGATGGGTTCTGGTTGTTAATGGTCTGATCTGGATGGTTTCTGTGTCTCTATGGATTGATGTGGATGGGTTCTGGGTCTCTATGGATTGATCTGGATGGGTTCTGGGTCTCTATGGTCTGATCTGGATGGTTTCTGGATGGGTTCTGGGTCTCTATGGGCTGATCTGGATGGGTTCCGGGTCTTCATGGTCTGATCTGGATGGGTTCTGGTTGTTAATGGTCTGATCTGGATGGGTTCTGAGTCTCTATGGACTGATGTGGGTGGGTTCTGGTTGTTCGTGGTCTGATCTGGATGGTTTCTGTGTCTCTATGGACTGATTTGGATGGGTTCTGGATGGGTTGTGGGTCTCTATGGTCTGATCTGGATGGGTTGTGGGTCTCTATGGTCTGATCTTGATGGGTTCTGGGTCTCTATGGTCTGATCTGGATGGGTTCTGGTTCTTCATGGTCCGATCTGGATAGGTTTTGGTTCTCTATGGTCTGGTCTGGATGGGTTCTGGTCCTGTTTCTCTTGGTTTTAGTGTTTAATTTGTTTAACTGATACCAGTTAAAGATGGAGTTTCATGGAGTGCTGTTACTATCTATGGTCTGGAAGTGATGATAATAGGCAGAGAGCATAAGGGGTCGGACATGTTGAGAGACTACATGTCTCCTTAAAACTAAAGTTGCCTTTAAATCAGAGTAAAGTCAACATTCAGACTTAAGTGGCTTAAACCAGTCTGGCTCCCAGTCAACAAGCAACCACATTACAGTAACTGGTTTCAGCAGGAAACAGAAACGTTCAGGAGATGGTGAAGCCTGACCTGGTGGGATAGTGGGTGGTGGTCCAGAGTCCTGCACAGCCGTCCACTCCAGAAGGAAGCCTTTTCCTGCTATGAAGGAATCGGACTGGAAGTGCAGAGTCACGGTGCTTCCTGAGCTCCTCACTGGATCGGGCCGGTTCAGACCACAGAATCTCCCGAGAGGGAAGGAGTAAACATCTGGGCCATCAAATATCTGGAGAGAAAGGAGAGCCGCTGATGGTACTCCACCAAAACTGCTCCTCTAGTCCGACTCAGAAGCTCCGCTAAACTATTCAGCTCTAATTCCAAAATGTTGGAACACATAACGTCCAACTGTGCTGATTAAAGAGGTTAGAGGTCGTTCCAGAAGCATCTACTAGGAGGACCAACCTGAGGCAACAGTAACCCTGGGTCAGAGACCTCTGAAAGCATCAGTCTATTATCTCCATCTAGATGGTGATAAGATACAATTCCATAAGATTTGTATTCCAATCAGGACTTCCTCCTATTGGAGGAAGTCCTGATTGACTGTAAATCTAACAGACCTATCAGCCGGTCAGTCTGACTGCATTGATTCACTTTCGATCAATCTAGATGAAGATAATCTGCTTCCATCAAAGACCAGCAGCCGTCTTACCTTCAGCTTGTCATAGTAGCAGTTATAGAGGTCCTCTATATCCATGTCCAGGAAGCGGATCTGGACGTAGTTGTCTCCCTCCACCGTTATGGTCCATCGATAATCGGCATCATTAGGATAATTCCTGGGATACAGCGGAGACGCAACCTGACCCGATTCCCCGATCAAATCAACGCCACACACTGAGAAATCGCCACAGGTTCAACCGTTAGCTCTGCTGGTTGGGCCACTCTATCACCAATTAACATTAGAGTTAGCATTTTTAGCTAATTGGCTAAAGGTCTAGTCGTTCTTTGTAGAACATCATCAACTACATGAAGAACATTGAAATCAAAAACTAAGAACTTTTTGATCAGAACATCTAATCTCCTTCCCTAGATTCATGGGAAGAGTCTATAGATATTCTATAGACAGAGTCGCCTTCCCTCTAAGGAGCAGAGCTTGGACGTAGAGCACTCACCATGTGAGAAAGTGGCTCTGAAGCCGGCCCCGCTCACTGACTCATCTGAGACGAACTTCACCCACAGGATGTGAGCGCTCACAGAGGTGTAGTTGGAGGGAAGCTCCGCCCCACAGAACCGACCAACAACAGGTCCAGAAGAGTTTGCTTCTCTGATTTCCAGGTAGTCGTTCTGACAGCTTCCCTGAAGGTGAAACATACTGAAGAACAGCTGCTGTTAGGATTCTGAAATGTCTAAAAACTGATGATCATAAAAACATCAGAGTTCGACTCCTTAATGTTCCAGGTGTTCAGATCATCTTCACCGTTGTCAAACTGATCCAAAGGGTTGACTGTGGAGCACATGGCGGACATGCTGCTCATGCTGCCAACATGTCCAGGCCAATGTTAAGCCAGACTGGGAGGGACTGGTATGAACACGACAGGAAATCCCTCCATTTTCCTGCGTTTTATTGTCATTATTCTGCATTTAAACGTCCCTGTGGGCAGCAGTGGGCTGCCATTGTGCGGTGCCCAGGGAGCAGTGCAGGGTTAAGGGTCTTGCTCAGGAGTGGCAGTCTGTGGGAGTGGGGCTTGAACTCCCCACTTGAATTCCAATCTCTATGTCCTAACCACTAGACCACCACTCACCAAAGCAGGCATTAGTGAAGGGTCTTTCCTAAGGACCCACCCTGGCAGCTCATCCCCTCCAGCTGAGAGACAAAGCCAGGCTTCCTGTTTGCAGGACGGGGGACAGACCACTTTGAGCTAGCCAGCCGCTAATGCAGGCTTATGCTTCTCCCTCCATCTGCTGTCCTTTGTTAACTTTATGTTTGTTAAAAAAAGGTTCATCTTGGTTTAAAATGATACTAGTCTAACGTTGGTTATCATCCATCCATCTTCTTCCTCTTATCCGGGGTCGGGTTGCAGGGGTAGCAGCTTCCGTAGGGAGGCCCAGACGTCCCTCTCTCCAGCTACTTGGTCCAGCTCCTCCAGGGGAATCCCAAGGCGCTCTCAGGCCAGCAGAGAAACATAGTCCCTCCAGCGTGTCCTGGGTCTCCCCCTGGGTCTCCTCCTGGTGGGACGTGCCTGGAACACCTCACCAGGGAGACGTCCAGGAAGCATCCTGACCAGATGCCAGAGCCACCTCAACCGGCTCCTCTTGATGTGGAGGAGCAGCGGCTCTACTCTGAGTCCTCCTCGGATGACTGAGCTCCTCCCCCATCTCTAAGGGAGAGCCCAGACACACTATGGGGAAAACTCATTTCATCCGATTGGAGCCAGGATCTCGTTCTTCCGGTCATGACCCAAAGCTCATGACCATAGATGAGGGTAGGAACGTAGATCAACCGCTAAATTCAGAGCTTTGCTTTTTGGCTCTCTCTTCACCACAACAGACCGGTACAGCACACACTTCACACCAATCCGCCTATCGACCTCCCGCTCCATCTTCCCCTCATTCCTGAACAAAAGACCTCAAGATACTTAAACGCCTCCACTAGGGGCAGTTGTTTATCAGTCAATCATTATGATTGATCCGCACCCAATCAGGGATCAGCTAGAGACTGCTCATGTTTCTAATCAACTTTCTACATTTGATTAAAAATGAGCTTTTAGCCTGTAATTGAGATGAAGCAGGCATTCAGAGAGGATGCCTATTATCCAAACCATCCCTGTGGATGAAGGCGAGCCATGGGTCCTGCAGACTAGAAGAAGGCCGGCGGACTCACAGGAAGGAGAGCTGGATACGGTTCCCTGGTGAGCTCCTCAGGGTCCAAACACATTCCATGTTTGGAGGATAGGCGTCTGGATAGTTGGGGCTGTTAAAGGCCCCGCTCTGCATCACCAGATCGCCGCCACAACCTGAGCAGGTAGAGAGCAGGATTAAACATGGCTGCAGCGTCACTCAGCGCCAATGAGGGCTGGTTAACGGCGTTGGACCGTACTGGAGGTGGAGGCAGAGTAGACCGCCCTGAATCCTCTCCTGGACACTGAGTGATCAGAGATGAAGTTTACCACCAGAGAGTTGCTGAAGGACGTAACAGGATGGGGTATTTCATCGCCGCAGTATCGCCCTGCCGACAGCAACAATAGCAACGCATGAAGCTTCACAAAGGTTCACATACTTTTAAACAGCAAACTAAACAGACTGTATAGAAATTAATGTTAAATGTTTTACTGCCTGAATTCATCTCAGGGTGGATCAGTCTTTAAATTCAACCTCTTTATACCCAGAATAATTAGATAGTTTATTGAATTAAATGCTTGTAATTAGTGCTTCCTTTAAACCATACAGGAAGTACTGAAATGATGATGTCATTGGTCTCCACCAGTGGGGGCAGAGCTGGGGATCATGGTGGCCCTCCTACTCGGTCTGCAGCCATAGTCATCCAGTTTGATGACAGTTGGGGAAACCTGAGCAGCTAATGATGTTTAAAACATTCAGGACCTGCAGAACTTCAAAGGATTCCCCGTTTTATGGGTTTTATGATCTCTAAGCCCAAATCATGGAAAGATGAACAGAAAATACTTAAAATCATCGAAATGGTGGATCCTGAACCTAGAATGGTTTGAATTTTGGTATCAAGCAAATGAAACAACTTTCCATGAAATTCCAATGTTTTGGACCGGTCTGTCCACGCGACTGAACCAGGCTAATCCTCCTTTAGTGCGGTCTATAGAAATGATGGTTGGTCTATTCAAAGGATGGAGAGAACAAGCTTCCTGAGCCTGATCAGGCCATCAGAGAGAAACTGCTAGCAGATAGCATGAGGCTTAGAGGGCTAACCATGCACTTAACTCAGTAAACAGATGGTCTCAGATGTAAACAACATGGACATAAACAGAGTTCCAAACATAGAATGGATCTGATCTTAGTACATCGCAGTTTTACGAAGGGTTAATGAAAATAGAGTTAATGTGTTGGAGTGGCCATCTAAAGGTCGTGATGTTAACTCAGCATAAACCATCCGGTAACACGGATCAGCCAGGAGGAGAGGCCAAAAACACCATGACAGCAAACGACTGTGAGGATCTACTGGAAGGAAATCCAGAGGCTAAGATTCGGTTCAGGATGTTTGGTTCTACCAAAGCTGCCATAACTGTACCCACCGATAGAAGGCGCCTGGTAGTTGTCTCCATCAAGAATTTCCACGGCATCATGTGAGCAGTTGGAATTTAGCATCTCCAGCTCGAAGTCAGTGAAGGACAGGGTGACATGGTTGACTAGCCAGAGAGTGAGAGTCAGAGGGTCACTGATCAGCTCCATTATAGGAAACACTGGACGCTGGAAGGCTGCAGCTTA